ATTACTGCGTGATACACGTGAAAAACTCCAGGCTAGTGATTGTACTGCACTAGCAAAATTTGTCATCTACAGCTGCGAGGCAAGTGGCCTGTTGAGGCAAACTAATTTATAGGCTGTATAAACATAGGCACACACAAATTATTAATGCGAAAGCATTAACTGTCCCATGGAGCGAACCGACGTCATCAGCTTTGAAACTGCGCCAAACGGCACCTTAAATCCTTTCTCCAAGTGAAGCCAGCTCCCGGCTATGAAACCACGCGAAACGCCTAGCCAAACGCGCCTAGTTTCCCCGATCCCAAAGGAGCGGAGTAAAGCTGATGGATTTCGGCTTCGGTCCCGTTGGCTGGCGCACGTCGACGAGGTTACCATTTGCCGCTGCACTTCAGTTTCAACGACCGCCACCCCATGGCGCTGGGTGTCCGCGAGGCAGCACCTCTACCGCTCCACGCCCAAGGTCAGCGCGTCTCCAGCTAGTTGCTCGCCCTCCCGCGGCGGAAAAGGGAAGCGCTCTAGTGAGGGTCCTCCGACTCTCCTGCTCAGCGGGCACGGCGGAACCGCTCGCGATCATGGCTAGTAAAATGTCATTTTTGAATGCAAACAACTCTCCACTCTCCCAATGTAGTGCTGCAGCCAGAATGGTATTGTACCTTACTAAAGAGTTTTAGTATTGCATATAGAAGCAAACGCAAACGCTGTGCGTTTGTGTTAGAGTTGCGTGCTCAACGTTACGCATGTGCGTCATCGCCATGCGCGATTACCAGTATTAGCAATACTAAAATTCATTACTGTTTCACCGGCTTCCAACGCCAACGAAACGTGCTGCAGTGAGCATACGTGCGAGCAGGTAGGCGTGCCTTCGAAATAGAAAGGATGAGATTGGCAAAAAGATGGGGCGTAAAAATGAAAGTAACTAAATGTTATGAAAAGGTGGGTAATTAAAAAAAACATTCGTCTGTTTCTTTGTTTTCTTGAGGAAAAGGGGGGGGGGGGGGCATTTTGTTTAGAAAGATATTAGCTGCGACTTTGGAAGAACATGGTTAAAATTGCGCTCAAATAGAAAGGAACAGAGAAGAGGGAAGAGAGAAGAGGCAAGCGCAAATCCACAATTCGATGTATTGAAGGAAGTTTTGCCGATTGTCAAAAGTTGCCACTTCGATAGCACAATATGCTTTACGCACAATTAGTGCAATTTTAGACGGATTTCTCACACTAGCTAGAATGTTTTCATTGATTTTACACTCTTTTTGTTTTATAACTTGGTAATTAAAAATGCTGCAAGTGGAGCCAGTGATAATAATTTGCACCGTTTTGATTGTCATACTTGTTCACGGGTTTGAAATCAGATCATAAGCAACAAATTATATTTGTGCTTTAAAAATTACGTATTAAAATATCTTAATTTTAATATTAATAGTATTAATACACTTCGCGGCAATGCTTGCCACCAGTTAATGCCACGATCATTAAAATACGCCATTTGACTATAATAGTATTTCCAGAAAGGTATAATTTTGTTTTCTTTCCAGCATATAAAAAAAACTCTGACATTGTTATCAAAATAGACAAAGAGTCAAACACTGGATTGAACATAGAGTCCTATGCTTCACGGGTTGCTTTAAAAGACACACACATTTCAGCTCTCTGACTGAAATTCCGTCTTTGTGTTTTTTGTGGTGAGAACAGCGTTTCTTAATTTATACTTTTTGGGAACATACGGTAAAAATTGGATTTATTATGTTATTCCTGTGCTGGGAATGTAAACGCAATTGATAATCTAAATACCCCAAAATTCATTAAAAGGCCCGCAGTTCATTATTTTTCATGATAAAGGTATTAGCGAGAAAAGGCAGGGAAAACGCGCAAATATAAGCACTGATTTTTTCAGCAAATGCAATATGCTGTTACCTCTTAGGTGTACGAAAGACACTTTCTCTAAAAGGACACTGAAATCTCAAAACTGCTTTGAAGTGCCTGGACCGAACACGTATGCCACAAAATAAAGTTTCCCTGAACAACTTATTGAACTAAATAATTTTGATGTGAGACACATCATGAGTTCTGAAATAATCCGAAATTAAGACGTATACGGAGAAATTAAATCCCAAATAGCGGTTAGTTTCGGTTTCACTCCAGAATTAAAACGTGCCTCCTGGTGTAAGTATTGCGCTAAACCCCGTTTTAGTTTTCAGAATAAAAAGGTGACCTGCACTCATGACACCCTAGCTTCCTCGTATTACCAGAAATAATTTGTGTCGCTCAGTGAATCCAAAACACCAGACAGGCTCAGCAGCGGCACGCAACTCCGACCCTCACTATACCAGCCATTTTGAAAAACGAGTGGCGCCACCTATAGTGAATTGGAGTCGCGAATAAAGAGAGAAAAACCGTTGTAAAAAGAAGGCCGCCCCTCTCCACTTCAGCCTTCCTACGTGTGCGCCCTTTTGCCCCTCGCCCTGGCTTTCTTATGCTGTATCTGACTGTAGCGCGCGCGCTTAACCGTCGACGCAAGCACGCTGCAGAAGAAATAAGGGAGCGGAAGAACGACGTGCATATTTTCGCGTTCACATTCCCTAAGGAGCGTTTAGGTGTACCTCGAGCCTTTTTTTTTTTTTCTGACATCTATTTCAAGTTTTAAACCCGGCTGCTCATCCGAAGAGCTGGCAGAACTTCTTAGTCCACAGTTTTTCCCCTAGAAGCACACCTGCTACAACCAGCCCAGAGGAGAAACTCTCTCCAACCACACGCAGCTCGCACGGAGGCCTGATAGACAAATCCTTCACGCTTTTTGAGTTTCACGTCGCACTAGAAATGACAAACATAAGAAGCACACAACGGGCATGGGTGGCATTACGTGTTCAGTACTAAAACCCTACCAGACGAACGACTGAAAGAACTCGTGGCATTGTACAACAATATCTGGGCAACCGGAGAAACACCGCAGGAATGGAAAACCTTGAAAATCACACCGACTGGCTAGCGGGGAAAGAGGATTGACTCGTCGAACAACATGCGACCAATCTCTCTCACCTTCACCGTATCCAAGATCTTTTGGCACATAATGTCTATGCGGCTACGTTGGTTCCCCGAGCGTAACTAAAAGCTGGCGCCCAAAACAACCCGGCTTTAGGAAACACTTGTCGGCCAAGGGTAGCCTGTCCATGCTCCACCAAGACACGGCAGACACCCGAGGAAATCGGGGGAAGATTCGCAACGTGGCCACCATCAATGTACAAAAATCTTTTGACAATGCATCATCTACATTCGTCGTTGACAAGCTCAAAAAGATGGAACTGGAGGGCCGATTGACAAACTTCCTCTCTGCCTTCCTTAACCCACGTGTGTTCATGGTCACAGTACAGGGGGCAGAACCTTGACCGAGGGAACTCTCGCACAGTGGACCACAGGTCTCCGTCCTCAGTCCCCTCTTATTCAACGTTCTTTCGCCGGGCCTATCGTAACCACTCGACCGGGTCGAGCACCTGGGTCACTTTCTGTATGAGGAAGACGTTGCAATCGGGAGCCGATCGGTCTCTATCGAAGAGCGGCAAGATGCCATCCAAGAGGGCCTGGATATCATTGACGCATACTTGACCTTCGTGTGCCTTACTCCATCTCCCAGAAAATTGTACATCGTACTCAGAGGCAAGCATGCACAAAAAGAGGCGGCTCTACCTTTCTAGGCTCCCCTTGTCGCGGATCATTCGCTGCCATGAAGAGTCAATCACTGTCCTCGGCCTTCCTATCGTTGCCAGCTACAGGCAAGAGAGCTGCGCTGCTCCGTTGCTGTTGGCAAGAGACCTACTACCTGATAGCGACCCTTGTCAATCCTCTTCGACCGCCGGTTGTGAATAACAAGGTCATCGTCGACGCCGTGAAAAAATCCCATGAACGCGAAGCCGTCTGAACTGTACTCAAGGCACGTCTTTTCGAAACGTGACCAGCAAGATGGAGAATCTATCGCTGACTACGTCAGCGCCTTGCGTACGCTAGCTCAAAAACTGCCGGGTTCGGGGAGCCACAGTTTCCGCTTGCTATAATGCTGCGCGACCGTTTGGTTTTTGGAATTGCAGACGGCCTGGTACAGCAACGACTGTTGAATGAAAAGAATTTGACGTTCGAGGCGGCATACGAGGTAGCAGTCACAACCATAGGCGTAGACTAGGGGGGGGGGGGGGGGGGGCAACGGGGCTCGTGCTCCCCCTGGTAAAATACGGGGGGGGGGGGAAGGCAGAGCCCCCCCCCCCCCGGGCTTGGGCCATGATCCTTACCAAGACGCTGCTTACGTGCCATGTAACGAGCTTCTAGTAGCGGCATGTAAACAAAATAACGCGCACGTTGCCTTTATTGACAAAATACATGGGAAATGGAATTCCAGCGTGTTTTACGTTAGTTTTAATCTCCAGATCTGGCAAAAAAATAGCGCGAAGCACCGCCCCCCCCCCCCCCCCACCCCCCGGGAGAACTTAGCCTCCCCCCCCCCCCCCTCCCCCCGGGAAAATGGAAAGTTAACGCCGCTGGTTACAGCGGAAACTGCTGCCAAACAGTAAGTTCAATCCCCACCCCTCCCAGTTTCGATCCGGATGACCATCGTACTGGCGTGCGGTCGTGGATCGCTACAGCGTAATGCATGTTAAAGACTCCAGGCTAGCGGTTGTACTGCACGGTCTAAAGTTTTCATCTACAGCTGGGTGACAAGTCGCCCGTTGAGGGAGACTAAGTTCTAGGCTGTATTAACCTGCACACACCCATTTTAGTTTACTGCCAAACAGCAAACGGCAAGAGAAAGGTCATCAAAAAGTGACCAAGAAAGTGTACGCGGTGCCATAAGGCACGATAAGGAGACAGGCCGAGAAGGAGCGGGACGGGAAACAGTCTATGCTTCGAAAATCACCAAGCAATAAGCTGCAAGTTTAAAAACGCAGTTTGGTTGAGCTGCTCGGGCAAGGGGCACATTTCAAAAGCGTTCCGAGCGAAGAAGAAATCATAAATGCAGCAAAATGTCGGCAATGCTGCGAGTCCAGCAAAGACAGACTATGACAAGTTATTCAATATCGGTCAAGTAAGTAGCGGCTCCCTGAAATTTATTGTCACTGTAGAAATTGGTAGCGAGAAGGTGTCCATGTAAGGAGATTTTGGAGCGGCACGTTAGATTATCGGCGAAAATGATTTCCAAGATCTGCAAGTAGCGAAACGCTTCCAGCTAGAAGAGCCGGACAAGCAGATCGTAACCTGGACAATGAGAAACCTGGGCGTCCTTGGAAAGACTATTATGCCTGTCAAGTTCAAAGGGCTGAATCTTCATTAGCCGCTACTGCTGCTAAAGAAGGCAACATGCTGCTGGATCGGCATTGGTTCAGTCCACTGGGAATCGAGGTAACGGCTCTGCATAAAGTCAGCAACAGCCTGGCAGTCACTGTTTCAAGGTTTCCCCAGGTTTTCGGCGACTCATTTCCCGGTCCTTCTTACCGCCAATCCACATGAAGCTCAAGCAAGACGCCCAATCAAGGTTATTGAAATGCCGAAGCGTTCCGTTTGCGCTTAAGGATGACGCCGTGCCCAAGCTGGGCAAGTTGGAGCAGCAAGGGATACTGGAGCCCACACAATATTCAGACTGTGCCACCTCTGCCGTCGTGGTGAGCAAGAAGAACGGCTCCCTGGGGATCTGCCGAGACTGCAGAAGCACAGTGAATCAAGCGATAAAAAGAAACTTTTACCCTTTACCTACGAGCAAAGATCTTTTTGCCAAGCTTGGAGAGGGCTGTATTTTCTCTAAGCTGGATTTAACACAGGCGTATTAGGAACTGTGTGTCGATGACACGTCAGCGGATTTGCTGATGATTAACACGGTGGTCTTTACGAGGTTCGTCGGCTGACGTATGGGTATCTGCGGCGCCTGGTATATTCCTGTGAACCATGGACACGATACTAGACATATTACCACAGGTAGCAGTGTATCAGGACGATATTTTGTGACCTGTGAAACTACCGAGGAGTATGATCAGGTGCTCCCCGAGGTCCTCAGCCGCCTGGTGAAAGCCGGACTCCGGGTCCAGGGCAACAAGTGAGAGTTGTTCAAGCGGAGATTGGGATTTTTGGCACATCGAATTGACGACCAAGACACCTACCCTTCAAAGGCAAAGGTCGAGGCTATCCACCAGGCCCTGCACCGACGAAAAAGAAGGAACTCCAAGTCTTTTTAGGTATAATAAACTTTTAAAACCGTTTCTTAAGGGGTAACACCGAAGTCGCCGACTCTTGGACAGAAATGTTACGTGGAAGTGGGACGAGAAACACAAACAAAATCTTTTGACGCTTTGAAGCAACTACTCACATCCGGCTACTCAGATGCAACTACTCGTGCACTTTAATGCAAGCACTCTTTTGTTGTCTTTTGATGCATCCCCAGTGAGCGTTAGAGCAGTACTCGCGCATCGTGACCAAGAGGGACGAGAGCATCCCTTGGCCTACGCCTCAAGAACGCTAACAAAGACCGAGAGGAATTATGCCTAAGTAGATGGAGAGGCACTAGCCGGGGTTTTTGGGGTTGCGCTGGGGTTGTACATTTTCACCAGAATCTATGTGACAGAAACTTCTTGATCTTGACTGACCACAAACCATGACTTGGAATCTTACAGTTGGAAAAACCAATACCAGCACTAATCTCATCTCGCATGCTGCGGTGAGTCTGATGCTTGCAGCATAAGTAAAAACGTCTATTCAGGCGTGCCAGGCACCGTGACAGTCCCTCCCACTGGCATGCATACCATAAGTGCGAAACAGAATATAAACAAAACGTTGCTATAACAAGAAATTCTTACTACCAAATCACTCTCCCCAATATGTTGCGTAGAAACCCTCAAAAAATTTTAGACAGTAATAAACCCTAAATCGGCTTATACACAAAATCTTATTGAGATATCAGGAAATTCACTATCTGACCTCGAAAGTGCTCGTGTTTTGGACTCTGCATTTTTTTGCAGTATTTTCATGTGAGAATACGGCCCTACCTATTTTGGATTCGTTCTTTGAACATGATCAAATGGAAAGTATAACGATTCATTCCTCTGGTGTGGTAAAGCTAATTGATAACTTGAAAGATTCTTCTTCCAGTGGTGAAGACGAAAGTAATTGGAAAGTTTTAATGAATACTAAAACAATTGCCAGTGTCATATTGTCCGGAATATTTTTGCACAGTCTTTGCTTTCTCATTCAGTTCCTAGGGACTGAAAAGTCGGTAACATTATCCCGTTATTTAAATGAGGTGAACGCAGTTCCCCCTTAAACCATAGGTCCCTATGCATTACAAGCATATCCTCAGATATTTTTGAACATATATTGCATTCGAAATCCATTCGCTTTTTAGAGGCAAATCAATTAATTTTCAATTACCAGCATGGGTTCCGGAAGGCTCATTCCAGCGAGACCCAACTCGCAGGATTCATTCATGATATTCATCTTTTCATTGACTTCGGTTCCCAAATTGATGTTATATTTCTTGATTTTGCCAAAATGTTCGACCGGGTCCCACATTAGCGTCTGTGGCAAAAAGTTACCCATCTAAAGTTAGATAGTAACAGAATCCTGTGGATCAAAGACTCGCTTTCTGACCGAAGTCAGTACACGCTCGTAAACTCTCATAGTTCAACTTCTTTTCCTGTGCCTTCGGGTGTACCTCAAGGCTCCGTCCTTGGACACTTGATTTTCTTAATATATATTAATGACTTACCTTCATGTATTCTCTCCCGCATCCGTAATTTTGCAGACGACTGCGTTGTATACAGAGAATTTTCTAACGAAAAAGATAGCATGCAACCACAACATGACCTCACTAACCTATCATTGTGGTGCTCGATCTGGCTCATGAAGCTTAACCCTTCAAAATGCAAACTCGTCTCATTTGTTAGGAAAGAGGCCTCTCTTTCTCATAAGTATTTTATTGATACAAACGTTGTTTAGTCTGTTTCCTCATATAAATATTTAGGTGTTCACGTCGATTAGCATCTCTCCATGAAGGTACATATTCGGTCGTTGTTATTATCGTGCAATCGTTGTTTGGGCTACCTAAAACATACACTTCGTTGTGCTCCCCCTCACTTAAAGAAAACTGCATACCTTTCGTTGATTCGGCCGAAACTTGATTACGCATCGAGCATTGGGTATCCTCACCATGCATATTTGATCACTCAAATAGAAGCCTTTAAAAAACGTGTCGCGCGCTTTATTTTTTCTGAGTATTTTCGACATTCCAGCGCCACCTTATTAAAACAAAAAGCCGACCTCCAAGAACTGGCCTTAAGACGCAAGCTTTCTTGCTTACGCCTTTTTCATTGCATTTACTATGTACCTTCTCTCAGCCAAGGCACCCTAACACAGTCGCATTTCATTACACCTCGTCTTAATCACTCATGTAAGATTGAACGTTTCACCTGCCGCACCTCTTCTTTTTTGTATTCCTTCTTTGCCAAAACAGCCGTGCGGTGGTATGATCTAACAGAGCGCATCGTCACCGAGATTAACCCTGATAGTTTTTGTTTTCTTATCAGCAGCCATTTAGGTATTGTATGACTTACGATTTCCTGTATGTTTGCACTGCTGTGCAAGATTTTATTTTTTGTGTTGCTTGATATCCGAATTTTTGTATGGTTGCACTGCTGGCCATGTTTTTATTTTATAATTTTTTGTGTGCTTCAAATATAATGTACTTATCCCCCCCCCCCCCTTATGTAATGTCCTGCCCAGAAGAACCTTTAAGGTATTTCAATAAATAAATAAATAAATATAACTAACGCCTGGAGTACAGAACGACTCAAGATCACGGCAACGCTGACTGCTTGAGCCAGCTGTCAACCCCTTCACTCCGACTGGAGATCGAGCGCCCCGGAGACGTACTTCTGCTGGAGGCTGTGCAGTACCCGCCAGTTACAGCGGCTGAAGTTTCATCACTCACGCAGTGCGAGACCAACAGCTCTCAAGGGTCAAGGCGCGGATCGTTTCAGGGCGGCCCCGGGAAGGCGTAGCCGAAGAGTACTCGGCATACCAGGTGAGGCAATAAGAGCTGTTCATTCATCCTGACTGCGTTCTCTTTGGAAACCGGGTCGTTCTGCCTGAAGCATTACACAAGAAAATCCTTGTTCTTCTACGCGTTAAAAACACGGGGGTGCCTGCGATGAAAGCGACCGCGAGGTCTCTTATGTGGTGGCCTAAGATTGACGCACAGATAAAATAACATGTTCGGCACTGCAAGCCGTGGTACGAGAACAGGCAGAGTGAACCTAGGAAGCCTTCTCATTTCTGGACTAAAATGACCTTGGAGCCGAATTCACCTCGGCTTCGGTGGACCCGTCAAGGATCGTGTTTCCTAGTTGTTGTGGACGCGCTATCCTGCTGGGATGAGCTGGAAGAGATGAGGTCCTCACTTAGCTCGTCCCCAGTTATCGAAAAGCTGCGTAGAATGTTTGCCAGCTACGAAATACGAGATTTGGTAGTGTCCGATAATGGCACCCTTTTCGCAAGTCGGGAGATGCAAGTATATTTTTTTAAGTTATATGGCGTCCGGTACTTCTGTAGTGCGTCGCACCATTCTTCAAATAACGAAAGAGCTGAACGGATGGTCTGCGAGCTAAAGGGAGCGCCTCATGAAGCGAACCAGTGCCACAATAACGTGTAAAGTGTCTTGGTTTTTGTTCAAGCATCACTCCGCGCCTGACTAGGAGACAGGGAAGGCACCAACCGAACTCAAGCTGCGAAGTAATCTACGATTGGCTCTTTCAAGATTGCATCCCAACGTGATCGGGGAGGTGGCATGTGCCTATCGCCTTCGGGTAGCTTCCAGCGCGGCGACTCAGTGTACGTACGAAACTTTTGTCAAGGTACACAGTGGTTAGCAGCTTGTGCATTACGACATCTTGGTCATGTCATGTATGAAGAGCAGATGTCAGAAGGCAGTGTCCAACGACGCCACCGGGACCACCCGCGAAAGTCGTGCGAGCCAGCATAATCGCCTCAAGCCAAGGGAACCAGCCCTTCCTTCGGACTGACGACACCGTCAAGAACCGACTC